TCCTTCCTTCCTTCCTTCCTTCCTTCCTTCCTTCCTTCCTTCCTTCCTTCCTTCCTTCCTTCCTTCCTTCCTTCCTTCCTTCCTTCTCCATTCTTCCCTCTTCAAACAGATATTTTGACCTACCCTTGTCTCCTTATTTACACCCTCACACATCGAACAGCTCTTCCAAACACAATTCATCTTGCTTTGTTCCTCTGGATACCTTTCATTTTTATGAATCAGTATTTTCCAATAAAAACTCACATTCTTATTTTGTACCCAAACACCTGCTCAAATATACACTTAACTTTTAACTGCAGAATAACTTAATGATAAAGTTTGAGATACAATTCCCCCTTCCAAAGCTAGAAAAAAAAGCCAGTTAAGACTGTGGCAAAATTTACAGCATATGATTTCTAGGCCAGTTCTGTTATTAAGAGTCTCAATTTCCTCTCCTTAAACATAATAACACAAAYTGTTCTTTTGGCTAGGAAAGGAGTGAAGAACAGAGCAGGCTGTGGCATTTCCTYCAGATCATCCTGTCTCTGGGCTAAAAGCCTACCTTTTTTTCTTGTGCACCAAATGCAATGAGTTCAGAACACCTGAGTACATGTTAGAGGAGAACAACATTTCAGCATGCTTTGAAAGCATTYCTTGAATAGACTTTTGGATTCATGAACATTTCCAAAGATTATTTATTGGCATCAGTTTCAGGAGAATGCAGAAAAGAAAAATGACCTCTGCTTTTTGATTACTATCCAGGGATGGGGGAAAGAGAAAGAAATTATACTTAAAAGTATATTTCTAGGGCACAGCTTGCCTGGTTTATGAAGAGAGCTGAGAAAGTTCTCACTTCGTTTGAACTGATGTGTTTGTGGAAGTCTTATTTCTCCTCCCACCTTTTCTTTTCTTCTGTGCTGTCCAGTCTTGAAAACAAACTGACAGATGTTCTCTTGGATCAGCTTGTGAGACTTGCAATGTCAGGGGTGCAAACAGATTTTAGCTGTTTAGTTCAGGAAATGAGATGCAGACAATCTGATAAATAAACAGGGTTTATCCAGTTTAAAGTAYGCTTCAGATTTCTTTTCAAAATACTCCTACGAGGAACTGAGGATGAATATTAAACATGTGCTCCTAATTTAGAGACCTCAATGGCAAGGTCAGAGGGTCTTTAACTTAYACAATTTGTACAGTGAGGTTATAACAGCAGTGCGTGTTTCTGATCCTTAACCATRCTAAAGAAACAACAAGAAATTTGAATAACATAGAAATTTACTCCAAAGGAACTTATAAAACTTMTGAATACATTGAAATGAAGTAGAATAATAGGATTTAGAGCTGTTTATGAATTAGAATGCTTTGTGACTTTAACTAAGAGACACACAGAGATTTGAAAAGCTGGCACATAATTACCCAGTATGGATTGGGACAAGACAGAGTGGAAAATATTCTTCCACTCAAGCAATGAAGTATGCATTTTAATGGTTATAGACTCATAAATTTAGATTCTGATATAATTCAAGTGGCACTTCCTCTTATCAGCAGCATCTAGATCCCCAGTACAGCACTAAAGCATCATTTAAGTCTGTGTAGTCTCATGTGCCACCCTATTTCTCTGTCATGGCTATATGGCCTGCACAGCACAGAAGAGCCCAGCATCCATGGCTCTGATGACACACTGCAGCCAGGCACCAGTCACAACAGCCAGGGACCTGCCCYGCATGTTTGCCAGGAGATGCAAACAAGCAAGCACAGAAGGTCAGTTAACTTCATAAACAGGCAACAAGGACTTCTTTCCTACTGTGAGAAAGAAGAGAGTTTAGAATGCAGGAGGTGAGTCTTGGAACTAACTCTTCATATTCTCTTAAGGATGTGGTGACTGAATACTTTGCTGTCCTTTGGGACTTGCAAAACCACAGTTTGGCCCTCAAGAGAGAAAACAGAGACCCACTGAGTCACCAGGAACATTTACTGCAGTGCTTTGGGTTTGTCTTGAGGCGCCTCCCTTCCAGCTCTGCAGGAAAGCATCATTTCCACCAAACAGAGGTGATTCAGAACCCATGAAACAGTTATTTTTCCAAGTAACAGAGAACTCTTACTGAATAAGTTATCATTGAAAAAGCTTTTAGGGCCACATTTGAATTTTGAATGAATTCAAATTCTAGTGAAAGGTGCTCAACAAGGGTCATGAAGCCARGAAACTTTACTCACTGCTCCCAGGAGGAACACACCCAATACTTGTTGTGACTTTCCTTTTTATCCCTAATCATACTCTCTGCATCACTCTCTTTTTTTTGCAATAATGAGTTTTGGGGGGAAAAAAGTAGATCATACTATTCTTATGCTTATGTAAGAGAAATTATTTCATTTGGCTACAAGACACCAGTTAGCAGAAAACCTTTTCCAGATTTTTTTTTTAAATCCTCAATGATCAAGATGCCTGAWAAGCCAATTATGGAAGATTCTGTGAAACCTCTTACACTCATCCTAGATTGCAAACTCTCTCCARGTAAGGTGGCTCTATTTATCTGCCAATATTCATCATTTTCCTATAYTGTGTTTGAGTCTTCAAGTGTCGTGACAGAGACAACAACAGGAATCCAACAGAACTATGAAATAGTCTGTAGTCCAAYAGCAGTAACAGCAGTACCTCACAGACTATTTTGTATTTACTATTTGCTTCTTTGTAATTTGAAATATTTTTCCGAACCTCTTCCTTGTAACTGTCACTGTAAAAAAATGGAAATATCCACCTTACCTACACACAGTGTTCTTGTTTCCTTCTGATCGATGTTTCAGTCCAAACACTTTTCACTTTTATTAGTCTCCTGCTACCTTAAAGGGCAAGTTTATATCAAAACACTGACATTTTTTATATTTTGGATGTTGCTCTATAAAGTGATTTAGTAAATCTTACCTCCTCAAAAAGTGGAAAATGTGTACTACAGCAAAATCTTACAGATTTCCTCATCACAAGACATGCCATGTCTTTAGCTATCATATATACCTTTTTTTTTTTTTTTCATAAGTGAGACAGCTGCTGCTTGGAAAATCCAGTCTTGGACCAACTCTGCCCCTGAAACAGAGGGAACAACAAAACACTAACTTACTAATTGTAGTGGGGGATTCTGATTGCTGCCTACTGGGTTCAAGAGGTCCTTAATTAGAAGACAGTATTGTGATTTCAACGTTTTTACAGCCCTATGGCCTGATGCAGCTGCTCTGTAAATTGTGCCTACTTAAACCTAGTTCACAGGGTCCCATCAAGAGAAGGTCTGAGGCAGTGCCTTGCAGGACTACATGAGTTTTACCCCTTGCATGAGAAAGAGTGGAATGGGAAGTGCAGGCAGAAGTCAAGGCTGGATGTTTCACATGCAGCAAGACTTCCTAAGTTTGGAATTGTCTCTGGGGGAGCTGTGTCAGACTTTTTTTTTCTTTTTTTAAGTCACCTTAACTTTTCTGGACACCAGCTCAACCCATACTCAGACTAATTAATTTGAAAGTCATGTCTAGTGAAAGTTATGATTACCTTAGAGCAAAATGAATATTTTCTTCATAAGGATGACACACATGGGTAAGATTTACTCTGCATGTTATGAGGACTGTGGGGATGACTAGATGACACAGTTCAATAGATTCTCACTTCCACCTCACACTCTTACTGAATACATTGTAATTAAAAATAGCTTTAAAAAACCCCAAACCTTAAATACTAAGGCTTTGGCAATACTTTCAACTACTATTATAGAGAAGCTGCCAATTTTTTTGTCGAAGCAAATGATGATGGGGAGCCCAGTAGATCCCCCTTATTCCCTTTGCAGTTGGAAAGTGTCTTGTGTTGGAAAGTGCCATGATGCCATGGAGAACAGGCGGCTACAAGGACTGTGTTCAGCTACTTGTGTCTCTGCTCTGACACCTGTAAAGCATGCCCACGAACCGGTGTGTTTAATTTCACAACAGAAGCCGAACCTTGATTACCCTTCGATGGCAGTGGTGACAAATGCCCTTATTAACGCTGACATTAAAGACAAGCATGAAGGAAGGCAAAGCGGCTGCCGGCTTTCTGCCCCTGCGCTCACAACCAGAGGTCACAACCGCTGACATGTTACATATTCACATTTGTTTATGCCACGTCGGGCACCCACAGCCACTGGCGTCCAGCGGATGGCCGCAGCCCGCCTCTCCCCGGGCTGTCCCCGCTCGGGGCAGTGATTTGCCAGCAGCCAGGCGCCTCTGCCCCGCAGTGCCCAGACGAGGAGAGCGGACCCTCCCGGCGCTGTCCATCCATCCATCCGTCTGTCCGTCCGTCCCGCCCGGGGTGGAGCCTGCCCGCCCTCCCCGCCCGGGGCTGCCGGTGCTGCTGGAGGCGGCGGGCCCGTCCCACATAAAACCCTGCGGCCCCGCCAGCCCCTTCCCACTGCGAGCCGCGGCCGCCTGCCTCCGGCGCTCTCCGTGCCATGGCTCGGCGCCTCAGCCCCGCCAGCTGAGCCCCGGGAGCCGCCGCGTCCTGAGGGGCCGAGCCGCCCGTGACTCCGCGGCCCTGACTGCGGCCTGCTGCCCTCCGCCTGCCGCTCCGTCCCGCTCCGCCCSCAGAAGCGCTGCCCGGGGCAGAAGACACTGTCCCGCCCGTGTGTGCACCAAGCCCGCCTTGCCCTTCCCTCGCCGCCATCGCACCTTCCCGCCTCCTGCCCCGGGGCCGGGCGGGCTCGCCTCCCGTCCTCCGCCGCCGCCGTCCCCGCCGAGGATGCGGGTGTCGCTGCTGAGCCCGCTGCTCCTGCTGTCCCTCAGCGCCTGCCCGCACGCCGCGGAGCTGTCGCTCGCCCGCGGCAAGTGCCCGGCCCGCTGCGATGTGTCCAAGTGCCCCAGCCCCAGCTGCCCCAGCGGCTACGTCCCCGACCGCTGCGGCTGCTGCCTCATCTGCGCCGCGGGCGAGGGGGACTCCTGCGGCCGCAAGGAGGACCCGCCGTGCGGGGACAGCCTYGACTGCCGCTACCCCATGGGCAAACGCTTCGCCAAGGGCGTCTGCCAGTGCAAGCTCAGCGCCCAGGTGTGCGGCAGCGACGGCCGGACCTACGACAACATCTGCCAGCTGAAGGCGGTGAGCCGCAAGGCGCTGCAGCACGGGCTGCCCGCTGTCGCCCARGTCCAGAAGGGAGCCTGTGAATCGGGTAGGAGCATGGTGGGATCCGCCGCGGGGCGGGGGTGGGACACCTGGCTTCCAGGGTAAATCAATGATTTTCAGTGGCCAGGGAAGTCTGGGTGGCTGTAGGCACTCTAAAAACCTYCAAGGACACGGCACCTCATCCAACTGCTAATAACACCTGTTGGAATAGATGTTCAGGTGCTTTCTGAACAGCAAAACTTCTCGATGCTCATTGTGGGCTTTGGCTGGGGTTTGGAAGGTTTCTCCCCGGCGGTATGGCCGTGGATATGAGGTGCAGCTCATTGCTGGACAAGAGGCCGACGCACTTGCCAGTAGGGAGGGAGGTGGGTGGAGGTCGCTCGGCTGCCAGGGCAGGGCAGCGGCCAYGTCCTTGGCTGTGGCCTTTTCTGGAGGCAGGACAGCGGTACGAGCCTCTCCCGACCTGCCAGTGCCACCTTCMCTCACCATTTCTCCGGTGACGGGCGCGGCGCTGGGTGGCATCACCCGTGCAGGTCACACAGCAGAGCCACAGCAGCACTGCCCGCACTGACAGAGCGGGGACTGGGAACACCTGTGCTCCGGGACCGTCCCTGCTGCCGYGTGGGGTGTGGGTCACATTCCCCTGACAGAGGAAATGGTCTAAAAGCCGAAGTAGAAAAAGCACTTAGTCTCATATAAACCACCTAAAACATAGTCTTTTTCCTGGTTTGTTTTCTTGACCGAAGGGTTTTGTAGTCTTGTAGAGCGCTAAGTAAGGAAAATAAACCTGAGAACCTCCTTTACAGTGCAAAATACTAACRCTCAGGCTATCAAATGATCTGGTTGTAAAGTCTTGAGGCCTTTACTCCAGATCCTGTGATATGCTATGACAACTTCAGGCTTGATGATTTAACTTTGGAAAGTTTAGTAATCTCTTAACGCTAGTAATTTCCTTTTAGTATTAAAATGTGTCTCTTTATGGAAGTGTTAATGCTGGCAGTATCTTTCCTCATGCTTACATTCTTTTAAGGGTTTTCTTCTGCTACCTTTCCCATACAGTTCCTGGAAAGAGAAGTCCTATGTTTAATGGGGTTTTAAAACACGCATTAGTGTTTCCATTACATCAGGTGAACCACTAGCCATCCTGTTTATTCATAGCAAACTGACCAAAATGATTGAGAGGGTGCAGAGGGAAAAGGGTTACTGTTGTAGGCTTTCTGTGAATAGGGGACCTTTCATATATGTCCTGCTCTTGTGAAAGGGTAAATCAGTTCAGAGAGGGAGGATGTTCAAATGGTATTTGTATTCCTGGAGTTTGTTTCAGAGTGTCWTGTCAGACAGAGCCAAGAATCACTCCATATGCCAGCCTGAATCTGCAGTGATCAGTTTCTCCAGTGTTTTGTAGCTATAAATTGGTTTTTGCCTTTTCCTTTTCAATCAGCATCTATTAGCTTCAGTACTCCTAAAACTTGGTTGGAACTGATTCACGTGTAAGAATCAGAATGTTTAACCAAAATGAGGGAGCTGCATCTGAGGGTTTGTTGAGTGCTTGGCATTTGGTGTATATGACATTTTTTTAAAGGAATCCTCCTGAATCTAATGTTAATAGGYTTAGGAATTTGGAGCTGTGAGGTAGAAGTAACTTTTTTTTAAAAGCAACTATTTTAGTGTCAACTTTATTTTGGCTTTATTTTTTGTCTCAGAAAACCTCAGCTTAGATGAAGCATCTGGTTTTCTGTTAAGTTTTAATTTTTTTATTCAGTTCTACAGCTGCACAAACTGAAGCTCAAAGAAACCGAGTGTCTTGCCCAAGGTCAGACTGAGTTGGTGGTTGAGCCAGGAATAGAACTCAATTATGGTATTTTTGCGGGGTTTTTTGTTGTTTTTCTTTTTAAACAATAACATGCAATGGCTGTAATGAGAGGCTTGGAAGAAAGTTGACAGTTTAAAATTGCTGTCAAATTTCTCTTTTCCCTRTTTTTGCCTGGCCTCTGATAGCTGAGAGTTTTAAGGGATTAGCTAGGAATGAAGCTAGAAATGCAGTTTTACTTAACCATCCATGTATTAAAACAATGCCAGATAACAGAAGACTCGCATAGTATGATTTGGACCCTATTTAGAACATGCAGTGATCCTGAGGAGTGGCTCCTGAAGTGTCTATTCCTGTCCTTTTCCAGTTGCTTATGTTGATGCTAAGTTGGACTCCAGCTGTGATAAACCAAGACAGGCTGAGAAACRTAGCTGTGGTTTCCTAGTGACAGCAGTCTGATGAACAAGGATGCATGAAAAATTAAAGAAAGGGAGGAAGGAGGTGGCCAGGGTTATTGAGTGATAATTGCAAATTTAACAGAATTTAAAGTGGCTGCATGTGTGTGCTGCATGAAGATCCAGCAGCTCCACATTGGATGTTCTACAATATGCCTGTGCCCAGGGACATCTCAGAGATACTGATAGGAACAGTCTGCAGAACTCCTGAGCAAAGTTAAACTCCCTGATAAAAATACTGGGTTTTTAAAAACTTTTTCAACACTAGGTACCTTAATATATGGCAATATATTCTGAAGCACCTAGTCTTTCCCTGTTTTCTGTCACCTTCTGTGATAAAGACAATCTGTTACAAGGTAGCATATAAATAACGGCATAAATATTACGGAGGACAACTTCTCTAATCAAAGACCTGTTTTTACAGAGCCCTGTTTCTCAGGGCAGCAAATGTAAGTTTTAACAATGCCACATATCAATCTATTAGGTGYCGGGTTTCTCAAAGGATTCACTTGGTCATCTGTAATCTGCAGTCAATTTGTGTCACACTTGTTTYCTGAATAAAGGACTGRTTTTGATCTCTCAGTACAACTTAGKAGAGTCAAATTCCCTGCACTTTAATTTTTCTAATAGTTTCTGTGAAGAGAGCTTAAATGTCAAAAGAGTTGTATTTTTTAACCTAAGACATGGAAGCAAAAAGTTTTTTTTTTCTTTTTTTTGTAAATACTGGTGCTACTTTGTCAGTGGAGCAATTAAAAGCTTGATTAGAAATCCTTTGAGGCTGGATTTGACACTGACCATTTGGTCTCTTCTGTGCTGTCTAACCTGAAGTCACTCTCAGAAAGGGGTCATAATGTAAAGCCTCATCCATGTCAGTTAGATCTTTGCAAGATATGAGCCTAAAAGTTCATTTTTCTAAGAGAGTGTTTGAAACACTGGTAATGCATACGTGGAGTCATTGCACACAGTTCTACATGCGATGTTTGGGAGTGTGCCTGTATATAACCTTGAAGATACTGAGGAACACCTGAGTGTGTGATTACTTGCATTTCTGAGAAGCTGGCCCAGTAAGAGATACTGAAGTCTCCTAGTGSTGTTATTGTCACCAAAGCCTTAAAGCTGCCTGCAGCTGTATTTAGGAAAATGTACTGCAGGGTCTTAGCTGGAAACACAGACTCTAGTCACATTCCTGTACTGCTTGTTTTTCTTATGCCTGAGTTTGGTTTGAGTTACTGCAGGTGACRATGGATATTGTACAGTATTTGGTATACAATTCAGAGTAGAGCRCTTCCCTGCTTTGTAAAGTATGGGTAACAGGAAAGAGATATTCTCATTGCATCTCCTCATGAGGATCACTTGGAAGTGAGGAATAAGAGGCATGTGAAGTCAGTGTGGTGTCTGTCCTAGAAGRCTTGTGCCAGTCTGTCTCTGTCTGGCCCTTGTGATTGCTGCATTGCACAAGAAAGCCACTTTGGTGTTGGTTCACCAAATTGTTTTCATCTGTGCACGGTAGATATCCACTGTATAAACAAGTTGCCTGAACCATAGTGTGGCATTAAACTCACCAAGGCTTTATGGTCAGTGCACAGCTATGCAACTTGATCTTARTGCTGAATTCATCAGAAAAGCTGCCCATGAACCTATGTTTCCAGCAGATGTTTCTGTTTTTTAAGCAGAGACATTATAATCTTTTATTTGTCTTTCATTTCTTTCCATGAAAGCACAGTAGGGACAGTGTTTATCCCTGGTGATCAGATCTGCCAGGTTCCAGTCCTCCCTTAGACATAATTTTGCTGAATGCACAAATCTTTTCTGAAGCTGGCTTGAAAAGGGGGATGGGGAAACAGCCTTAAAAGAATGAGCTTCCCAGGCTCACAAATTCTTAATGAATATGAAATTGTGGATTTTAATACAATGTATTGTCTTTAAGAAAGYAGTGAATGTGATTTGATTTAATTCTACAGGGACTAAGCTGGCAGATATTCAGAAATKTTCAGTCTTTTGCAAATGTAAATTGGTATGGTTTTATTGTCTTCAGTGGGATTATAATGATTATTTCTGCCGAATTTTTTCCAGTCCTCTTCATACTAGGTTAACTACAGATTTCTTGGCGTTTTTCCTGGTTTATAGCAGTGTTAATGAGATTGAAGTGGGTCTATTGTCTYTGCAAGAAAGTAAATAAACCACTATTAAGTGAACCCATAGCCTGTGAGAACCCTATAGCACTGTCCAGGGAAAGACTTAAACTGATAATAAGGCTATTCCTACCTGACAGGCACTCAGCTTTAGATGTTCAAATACAGTGTAGTTGGAGTCCACAGGACTGGAAACATAAAATCRCATTTTACAAAATAGACTGGAAATYTTTAGCTCCTGTTTATGAASTTACATTGAAATCTGGATTTTGAATGTTTTGTGAGAAGAGCTGGAGACCTGAAGATCTAATAACTTAGTTGAAATGATAGGATCAAAGTTCAAGKCTGCTGAAAATCTGGTTGATTGGTGACTATGCAGCAGATTGGGAAAATCTAGGTTTTTTTACTTAAGAAATGCATCGATTGCTAAGGACTCATACAGCATAAATTTGGTTTTGTTTCAAATACAACCTGGTTGTGGCACCTTTGAAGTCTTGGTTATACAACAGATGGCTAATTGGATTAAATATGTATTTTTGCCAAATTAGATTTAGTTAGTGTGAGATTATTTTGAACATGCAGTAATAGCATGGAAAATCATGCACGTTATTGAGAGACCTTTGAAAAACTATGTTTGCCAATCTCTGAAGTTCGATGGGACAAAATCCACAAAGGTGCTGTGAGTTTAGAGCCATTACATGCRCAGGGCAGCGGAGATCTGAGGGCTGTGTGAGGGCTCCACAAGACATCAGGGGTGTGATGGGGAGAGATAGATATTTAATTTCATCTTATATTTAATTTTACCTTTTAGTAAGGACAGTAGCAGCAGCTAGTGTGTACCCACTAATGCAAATTAAGGGTTAACTTCTAACACTTGTATTCAGGGTGACCATATACAATATACTCAGTGTTGGATGTTGCTTCCTTCTTCAGTCTCCCTGGCTTGAAGTCCTCCCTTTTGAAGTATGATCAGAAGTTCCAGTGAAAACCATCAGTTTAATAATTATGCACTAAAATTCTATTAGTAACAGCCAACACTTGAGTTCCCTTAAATAGTGCTGTATGTGTGAGATTAAATGTGAGCATGTAGTTACATCTTCTGCATCCATAGTTTGGGTTCCTGGTACCTCATATAATGTGTTTGAAGGTTCTCATCACTCCCAGCTTGCAGAAAAYGATTCAAGAAAGATCAGATTCTATGAAGGCATCTCAGTTCTGTAATACAGTTTTCACCAGTGTTTGRAGTTTCAGTTTTAGCCCCCTCTATGTATTGCTGTGTTTTATTGTCTTCATCTTTTTTTCATGTTTCATCCACTACCTCTTTCAGATATTTTCTCTGCCTCCCTCAAATCCTACCTGGAAAGCCACTGCCACCCATGATGTTTTCCTGGTGGCCAGTCAAGAGTGGTCCAGACCTGAGGTTTTTGGCAGGCATCTTCCTGTGCTTTTGGCCATGCACAGTGCTGTAACCATTTGGCCTGGGCAGAACAGTTGAGCCCTCAGAAAATGCAAATAGATTTAGTTGCTATGCTGATTTACACCATCTAAAAGGCTGCATTCATCACTGTTTTCCCCCAGTTCTGTGCTAGTTCATCAGCTGCTTTTCACTGATGCATGGTTATGACTGTTAAGATAAATGTGATGGCAGTGATATCCTGTCAGTGAGCACTTGCTKTGTGTGCCAGTGTTCAAAGTCATGTTAGTAGACTTCTTCAAAGGATATGCTGCATAGTCAGGCAAGCTGCCTGGGAACTGAAGGTAAGATAAATCTTCAGTGGCCTAGTAAGCAAAATAAATAACAGTATATTGTGCTTACGTTTGCCTGTCCTCTGTGATTCCTGTTTGCAGTGTCTCTTTCAAACTAAGCATTAAAACAAGCATACTCAATTGGTTAGGGGGATCTTTTAGAGTGCCTGAGAATGTGCATAGAAGTAATAGACTGAATCTAGTTCTGCCAAGTTATTCCTTTTGTTTATTCAGTATCATATAAATCTAGCTTGCTAAATGTAARCAGTATTTCTTTTCATTCAGAAGTAAATCCTGTGTCCAGTAATGGGATGAAGAACTCACAAACTTCTATGAAGAAATTCCTAATTGTCTTGRTCTGGTTTCCTCAACTCATTTGCTCCCTTTGGTAGATCCCATAGTTAATTTTAAAGCATCAGGCTGTGAACGTGGAAGTTGGCTATATATGGTGATACATCCCCTATTTGCTTAATGTATGGTGATGTGCCCCATGTGTTAGGGATTGCAGAGAATATGACCTTCTAGCACAAGCAGTGTTATTACTTTAGGGTGTTGTGATGCTAGAATCCAGGGTGTTGTGGTATTAGAAATCAGGATGCTGTGGGCTTTTTCATGACCTCTTTATGATCTTAATTTCACACAATTATGTTCACACTTACTGAATGCTGTGTAGTGCTGTTTAATGTAGTACCATACTGACGTTTGTAATAATAAGACCTTTTAGTAATCCATTGCTAGGCCCAGCTGTATGTGACAGCTTAAATCTGGATTTGCAAAAACTTTTAGGTGGAAAGGTTATAATATAAAGCAGATATCTAATGTGTCTACTTTAAAAAAATTAGAAATTATGTTCTAACTGTGGCTCCCAAATTCTTCAGCTGTGTTACTCAACACTTGTTAAACCATGTCTAGAACTCTGCATCCAATTTTGGATCCTTCAGTACAAGAAAGGCACTGAAAAACTGGAGGGAGTTCAGGAGAAGGTCACAAGAATGGCTGGGGGGAGCTGGAGATATCTCTTGTGAGAAGAAGCTGAGGGTGCTGGGCTTGTTCGGCCTCGAGAACAGAAAGCTTCAGCAGGAGCTGAGAGCAGCCTCTGTGTGCACCAGGCTCTTTACAGAGGTGCATAATGAGAGGATGAGACACAGTGGACATCGGTTGAAATGCAAGTCTCAACAAGTTCAGACTAGATAGAAGAAAATCTTTTACATCATGAGGGATAAGTGAGGCAGTGGACAAGTTTCCCAGAGAGTTTCTGGAGTATCCATCCTTGGAGTTTTGCAAGTCCCAACTCGGTCTGCATTMGTAGCTGATGCAGCTTTGAGCAGGAGGTAGAACTAGAGGCTCCTAAGGTCCTTTCCGACCCGACCTAGCTTATGACTGTATGTGTTTTGGATAATAGTTAGTAGTTGTCATGAGAAAAGTGCTCAAGGCAGGACTTGTAGGCTTCCAAAAAAAGAACTAATAGCTAAATTATGCTGTTATTTARTTTTCTCAAAATCAGGCAAAATACTAGATTAGTTTTGAACTAACTTGATGACTTTAATTCCTTTTCCAGTGCTGTTACTGTTTGGAAACTACTCTAGTAGGAGAAACAGACCAAGGCAGGTTCATCTTGCCTTCTTGCTAAAAAAGGGTATTGTCCTATTAACATATCCAATTCTTTCTGCTAGTATAGGTCACCTACAGTTCAGCAGCCCAAGATACAAATTCAACTTCATAGCGGATGTGGTGGAAAAGATTGCACCTGCAGTTGTACACATTGAACTTTTTCTCAGGTAACACTTTAAATTATTTGTTTTAGTTACATTGTTTAACAATGATCTACAGAGATTTTTACAGTGTAGTAACTTGCCTTTTGAATTCCTGAAGTKCACAAAATACTCTAAAACATTACAGCAGACTATTTTCTCCAGAGAACCACACATTTGTGTGTTTTGTTCCTGATCATTAGACCTATTCTAATGGGCTTACAGCCCTTTCAGTACCATAGACTATATATTGTCTACCTTAAAATAAGTCTGGTTCATCTTTGGAAGTCTCTTCAGGCTTCATTAAAATGTATTTCTTGTTAGATTATATGTATTATCTCATCTTAAATAATAAATAAATATCCGGGTGGTAAGCTGGAAAAGCATTGCTTGTTGCTTTTTCTGCTTTCAWTGAGAGGTGATTTTATTTTGGCAGGAAGAGCATTAAGAAGCAGAATGTAACTTATCTAAACACAGAAATGACTCATGATAGTACTAACTTTGCTGACCAGAACATTACCAATACTCAGAGTGCTGAAGCTGGAGCTGAGGTCTACATTTGGGCCTCGGGATCTCCTTAGACCTCACCTCTTCTTTTATGCCTCTGTCCAGCTGCAAGGTTCCTCCTTCTCCTTTTCCCATTAGAGGATCAGTTCATTTTTCAGCCCTATTATTTCCTGTAATTCTTTTCTCCCAGTATAAAATCAATAATCAGTGGGATCAGATGGGSTCCTTCTCCTTCCTTTTTTGTCACYTAGCCTCTCTGCAAWGACATCTRCAAAKAATTGGAAACCAAAGGAAAAGGATCCTGCTGGYTGTCTGTAAACCTCACTTCCTATCTCCCTGTCTGACTAAAACCAGGCACAATTTTCAGGAAGGGATCTTTACTTTGTCATTCTTTTTAAAATCTCATTTTTGTAACCATTGCACATTTTTTGACAATTTATTGTCAAATGTTATTTCTCAGGGTGAAAGGTAGTAAATGGTGTCTAATGTAATCTTCTCTTAAGTTGTGTTTCCCTTATGACACAGAATTGCTTGGTTTTTGTACAGGCACCCTCTCTTTGGTCGAAATGTCCCACTTTCCAGTGGATCGGGGTTTATTATGTCTGATTCTGGTTTAATTGTGACCAATGCCCACGTGGTGTCAAGCACAAATGCAATATCAGGGAGACAGCAACTGAAGGTACAGCTCCAGAATGGAGATACCTATGAAGCAACCATCAAAGACATTGATAAGAAATCTGACATTGCAACAATAAAGATTCACCCTAAGGTGAGTGGCATAAACAGAAGAATGACTTAATTTGGGAACCCTATTTCAGTTTCACTTTGTACTAAGTGCTTGACTGGAATATATGTTTAAGGATTCCTTAGAAGTGTCTGGGCTAAACAATGTACTGAAATACAGGTCTGGATTTTTTTCRTATCTTGTAATTTAATTAATTTGTYTTCTGTGTTAGAAACTGCTAAAAATGAAGGAAAAAGAAATGCAGCTCATTTAATTTGTGGCAAARTTCTGCTATCTTTCTTGGAAGACCCAGGCTATTTTGGCTGATCTTTGTAAGCTTTGTGCCAGTATACATGGACTGTGAGGTGGTGCATAATGCAGAGAGAGGCAGGCTGGTCAACAGTTGGCTTGTATGCTGTTTCTAGGAAGAAAAGAGCTGGAAAACAGGGATGCCCTTTTTTTCTGAGTAAAGTTGCAAGGAACTACTGCTAGCTGTTTGTTTCTGAAGACAGTTTAAAACACCAAACTTCCTGACATAAGTTTTGGGTGTATAGTGAGTGGCTCTTTGATAAATGTAATGAAAAGTCTATGTTCCTAACTTGTTAGGTTTTTTTATCTTTGCAATTAGGTTATTTTTAAGTATAAACTAATGCTTATTTCWTTCTCTCTGTGTTTGTTTAAGAAAAAACTACCAGTATTGTTACTGGGCCACTCTGCTGATCTGAGGCCAGGAGAATTTGTGGTGGCAATTGGGAGTCCATTTGCCTTACAGAACACTGTGACCACAGGTATTGTCAGCACTGCTCAACGTGATGGCAAAGAGCTGGGCCTGAGGGACTCAGATATGGATTACATTCAGACAGATGCCATTATTAATGTGAGTATGAGGCACGAGAGGAGTTTCACTTCACAGTCCTTCCCCACCTATGCAGCMTGGAGGTGCCTGCTCTGAAAGATGAATCCACTAAATAGAAGCAGCTTCTTTTATAACAGACTATGAATTGTCTGTAAGTTGCATTCAGGCAGTGTTGTGAAATGTGTGATAAATAAAAGTACTCCCTTTGAGATTATCTGTGAAGATACTGCATAGGACAGACCCTTTTAATTCTGTTAATCTCATGCAGYAACATACAGTTATATCCACCAGCAGTAAATCAAAACATTTCTCTCTCTGCTTGCTGAGTTGCTCTGGTCAGGGAAGCTGTAGAATAGAGCCAAAGTTTTTTCATCTCCATACATCAGAACCAGARGGAGTAGTCAAATTGATAGTACATGCTTCAATTTAATGACACCCAGGTAAGAACTTAAGGAGAGGGCTGGGGGTTTTTGTTGCTCTTCTTGTTTTCCCTYTGTATGTTACATACTCCAAACAAGAATCAAGATGTAAAATAWCATAAAGTTTGAGGTACAGCTTGTTGCTAAGGATCCCAGCATTGCATGTTATATAGAAATACATTAAAATAATGTGCCTTCAGAGCAGCKTGGAGGGATCCAAACAGCTTMAGTGAAGTCCTTGGGTGTGTWTTTAACRCACAGTGTTTCTARAAAGAGCACTGCACACAGATCTGAKGTGGAAAATGGCTTGAAATTTTATAGCTTAAATCTGTTACACATTGAAAGGAAAATATTTCCAGGATTTATTTCTTGGACCCCAGTGTAAAATTTGACATAACAAGCAATAAGGCTTAGTGYTTTACACAAACACAATGCTTCACAAATGGTTATTGTCACACACTTGTCAAGAGAAATTGTATGGGGAGGAAAAAAAGAGGGTAGTTATTTTTTGTGTGAAGATATGACATAAAAGTGAGCTTTTTCAAAAAGCTTCTGTATGACCCAGGAGCTGAGCCTCTTCAGACATTAAATTGGAATTACTGTCTTCAGTTGTGTAAGGAGAATAGGAAAACTTGGGCAAATGGGTTAGTTGAGAGCACACACTGAATTAGTGGCGGAGACAGAATTAGAACATGGGATTCTTGACTTCTTGCCTGTACACATTTTTCAAGCTCAGACTCCTTCATTGTGTTTATACTTAGACATTTGCTGCCCTCCAAAGCTTACAAGCAGGTTTAGGCAAGGATAGGAGTGTGTGTCAGATACTGCTAGACCAAAGGAAGAGTGATAGCAGATGAGGTGAGGAAAATGACAGGAAGTTTGAATTGCTTTGCCATCTGAGACCACAAAATRTGAAGATGGTCCCTGGCATAAGGATGCTTTGTGCTTTGCTAATGCACTCGTTTTCTCCTGAGAATGGGAGGAGTTTGAGAGTTGGTCTGTTCAGAGCATTCCTGTGGCTCAGCCAAGACTTTCCTGCAGGAATGTGCATGCAGCTGCCTTCTGAGAAATGCTGGGGCAGCAGTAACMCAGGGCAGGAGAAAACAGGGCCACAAGGTTCTCAGTGGGGCTATATTGCATGTGCTGAAGGTCTTTCACATCCTTCAAGCAGAAGGCTGGTGAATGAAAGATGATGTGCTGRGGAAGGCTGAAAAATCATTATCTGGGTTTTGTTTGTTAGACATTAAAATCAAGCGTGCAGCCTCTGATCACCAGAGAGATACAATGTAAGGAACKGATCTATTTGTTTAAATTTGAACTTTGAAGCTGTTTTAGAAACTAATGTCTGTTTTATTCTCCTAAGAATCTATAAGGTTTGCCCAGTCCTATCTAAGTGTAAACAGTTTGTGTCTCACTTTTCCATCATACATCACTTAGCTTTTGTTTCTTTTGAGTGGTGAGTTGCTGCTCTTGGCTGTTTTGCAAACCTACTCGAAAACTCTGGCCTCACTCAAAAACAAACTCTTTAAGCCAACATGAAGATGGGCAAGCAACTTCCCTAAATCTCATTTCCTGTGGTCCTGTTGCATGTTTCTTTTAAAGGCCATTAGGTATTAGGTAATTTTGGGCTGCTCAGAGCTGCTATATGCCCTCCCTAGAGAGGGATACATGTYTGTGGTTACTAAATCAATCCTTATATAGTAGCTACCTCATAGAAATGTGCTGTGATTAAATACCTAAAACACTGTGTTCTGCTCCAGTGGAGAATGAGAGACTGACAGTGTTACAAACCAAAGTGATGAATAAAACTAAAACTGTACAAGCACCTTGCCAAAATAAAACTGTAAATAGCAATTAATTATTTCAAAACCTTGTTCTGATAGTCTTTAGAAGAATCAAAACACTAGTTTTAACTATTTAACAGGTCTTAAACTTAGGGTCTATCTATTTGGAGTGGCCTGTTCTTGAAAAGAAAAAAAAATATCATGAGAGCTGTGAAGGGGTAGGATGAGGCCTACCCATAATTTTCTGTGGTAAACGTTGTGTGTGAAAGTGCTGCCTAAGTAATTACCTCCTCTCTTTTATTTACTTACAAACAAAGTACTGTTTCAAATGAGCATTGCATTTCCTACAGTGAAGTATTAATTTATTCTTCCCTTATGTCATTTTTACAGTATGGCAACTCTGGAGGACCTCTAGTTAATCTGGTAAGTCCATTTGACTTGGTTTTGTTTGTTGGTTCRTTTGTTTTGTTTCAAGAGCTGGTTTGAAGTTAGTGGGAGAACATTCTTTTGGAAAGATTCATAGGTCATTGCAGCTTCCATTCATTAAGAAATGGTAGGCAGATAGTCTGAAGCTGATGCAGATTATGCAAATTAGKTCTCAGTTCACATTCCATAGGAAAACATTTCCCTGTTGAGCACAAAACATTTTATGTAGCAGTGAGGAATATGGGATCTGGTAGGAGCAGTTATGCTTGTTCACACTGTGAAACCTGGGATGCACAACAGAGATGGGAACTGGTTAACCCACACAATTTTTTCCAAACAGATTGCTTTAAATCAGCACTGGTTTTGCAGGTCAGTGACTTGTGACTGTAGTGGCAGTAGTGACTCCACTGCCCATTTGGCAGAGAGAATCTTGTGTTGAGTGGTGGGATGGACCTTGGATGAACACACTGTACTGTAATCTCTCTGGCCATCACAGTAAAATGTGAAATGGATTATGAATCAAAGCCCAGATACTCCCTTATAAGTAATGTTTATTTCTTGAGTGATTACAACACTCTAAAATTTCTTACACCAGCTTTTAACATGAAATGCTAGACAGGGAGCTGAACCCTGTGCTTAGGAACAAATTAATTGGGTGTTTTCTCTCAACAGGATGGTGAAGTGATTGGGATTAACACCTTGAAGGTCACAGCTGGAATTTCTTTTGCTATTCCTTCAGACCGTATCACTCAGTTTCTCACAGAGTCACATGACAAGCAAAGCAAAGGTAARGTCTGCAAGAAACAGTGATATCTTCCAGTTATTGTCCTGATCAAGGTGAAGTGCCAAAGGACGTGGCATCCTATTACTGGGATCCTATTACTGAAAGGACCATCATTTTACAGTATAGAGCATCACAGACTTGTAAATAGAAAACAACCTCACAGAAGTGGGAGAGGCTTTTTATTACTCACACCCCCAAAGAGCAGACAGTATCTGTATAAATATGGGAAATAGGACCTCTGAGAACAGTGAGGACACARATGAATCATCACTGTTTCAAATGATCTGGAGAACAGATGATGATTTGTTTAAGGAGTCTTATTCTACTATTTTCATTTATTGTCCAAGCAAAAGGAAGATTATGGTATACTATAGAGAACAAGGTAAAAACTTTTTTTGGCGGCTGTCCACAGGTGGGATGTAGTATGTGCATTGTCTGTAGAACCTGACATGTATTTTATTATGGTCATGTCTGTCAGTGCTACATAATCAGACACTGTGATAGACTCTCAGGTTCTGGTGGAAGAAGGGTGTTACTCGTTCGTGAAAAAATCCGTGGGAAGATGGGAGAGAGGCAGAAAAGAAAGGCCTCTGCACCAGAGAGTATGTAAATCTAARTATATTGGCAATGACAACTGCAGTACTTCACACTTTTTTTACGTGCCTGCAGAGTGTCTGTCGCCCTGTTCTAGATGTCATACTACAGGCTGCGTAGCCAAAGCTGATGGAGTAATGCTGCATCCAGGCCAAACCTTCCTTACTCTTTTGCTTGCCAATTTGTCTGTCCACACCCTGCTACTCATCTTTTATCATGAGTGTTGGCTGCTGCTTCTTCTCTTGAAACTTTTTGTTATTAATCTTGTCTTCTCCTGAGTTCATCCAGTTCCTGATGCCAGGATTGTTTTCCTACACCATTGTCCTCTCAGATAAGTGTTATTTCAGAAACTTCCCTTAGTCAGCATTTTTAAAGTGATGCAGCTGCTTGTATATATGAGAACATCACAATTCTGATGGATCTCCTCATCTGTGTTTTGCTGAATTCCACAAATTATATTGTTTCCACTGTTGATTTGGGGGRAAGGGGAGGAGTAGATGAGAAAAGGTTAATCATATGCTGAGAAGTGCATTTTAAAGTAGCTGACACAATTTGTTTTCAGTCAACAAATCAAAAAACTTATTTATTTGCCCTGGTTGCTAACTGATCATTGGTTTGTGAAGTAAGCAGGTGTCTTGTCAGTGGTGGTGCCCTTCAGAACCAAACTGCTCATCCTGAGCCAGGGAGGAGCAATGGTTCAGCCTGCAGGCCTGGCCCAGAGGGATAGACTGAAGCCTTGTGCAGTGCCCACCATCTCCTGGTAACTGGGGCTGGAAAGTCAGTGAAGGTTGGAGATGTCACTGCTGAAATCAGCCACCTTGCTCCTTCAGGCWCCTTTGCCTCCACAGAATGATGAGCCCAGCTAAGGGCCCAGAGACAGCTTTGCCYGTGGAACCCTGAGGAAAAAAACGTTGTGAAAGATTCAAGTTTTTCTAATGCTTGTAACATACAGGTTTTTTCTGATCATGACACATTATCCCCTAATCAAATGGATTCACACTTTCTCTTGGTGTCAGTGTGACTGTCATGGCTTCAAATAGCCTGCACACAGACAATTTTAATATTTATTTTATTTTTCAATTTTTTTTTTGCTTTTCCTTCTCTGAAGTACCTCTTGTAATTTTGCTACAGCAGTACAGTCATTTAGAGCTCTTGATGCATAGAGAAAGWTTCTAGGAGATATTTTCACCATGTATTTGAGGTATAGTTTGTACTTTTTAGGCCTTTAGTAATAGTTTTCAGGTTTATTGTATGATTGTTATTTCTTGGCATAATGAATTATGTAAGCAGAATTTTAGGGATGTTTTTGTCATGTTTTCTTCCAGTTATGTTTCAATAATTTCAGTGGGATCCTCCCTTATGGTCCAATTAGGTCATAGAGAGAAGTTTAAGGGTATTACTGTTTTGCTCTTACTATTATATTGCCTGAAGATGATAACACTCCCTTAGGATACCACTCTTTCCTGAGTTRTTCTGGCATAGTAGATACTCAGTTGTTTAATAAGCTTGACCTTACTCTTTTGAATCTCAGTTGATCAGATAACTGTTTTATACAGGAGGCATATGGTTTTTAAATCTCATTGATTACATATGACTGCAAATATCTGAACTATTGAAGAACAGGAGTGGAGAAGGGGGGAAAAGGAGAGGATGGCATTTGAATGAAGAATTTGCCCTGTTTATTATTATCTATACATTCTATACTACCTAATGCATTGGTAATATATAATAGCACCTAATGTATTTTTGACCGAAGATTTGCTGCAGTCTTCATTGAGATGTTGGTTGCRTGGTCAGAAAGCCCTTGCTATTTTTGGGGCTATCAGTAATAATGTTAACTTCCTTTTATAGTTAGGAAGTCTTAAAATTCTGCRCAAAATTGTCTCCATCTATATCTCAGTTTTAACCCGCTGTATGTTCTGTCTTTACCTCTGAAAGTTAATAGGAATTTCTGTGTTTCAGTCTTGGCTCTGTCTATTCATARTATGGACTTGAGCAGAGCAGTAAAAGTAGAAAGTGTTTAAACACAGATCCTTTAAAATGGAAGGCAATAAGTCAGCAATTTGACAAAATATTAAAGAGAAAATTCATCCTAAAAGGTCAGCTTGGTCCCTCATGTAGCGCGCAGAAAAGTGAATAAACCGTGTTTCAAATGGGCAAGGAGAAATGGGGGAATTCTGCATTGGCCACAYCCAAGAGATCATTTATATGAATCCTCATTTTAGGTACCTAGGACGTTGTATTAGTTGTGATGAAATTATATTCTTACCTTTGTGTTTGAATGATTGTTACTCATAATAATTAACAATAATCATGAGGGTTGATTAGGAACATCGCTGAGTACTGATTCAGACCACTGATTAAATTCAACTATGCAATTTATACAGAAGGGACACTGCACACAATCCAGGCTTACAGGCTTGAGCTATTTTCACGTTTTCTGTTTGGCAGTGGAATATCTTTCTTAAATGCTTTCAGGGCTTCTCATATAATCTGCAAGATGAGCTAGGTGCAAAAGTCATTAGCAGAGAAGTAGGAGTTTCGCCTGACACTTGAATTAGACGTGCAGTATCCATTTCTTGACTTGGAGGTCCTGGTGATATCCCAGCCCCACAGAGGTCAGCTTCAGTGGGTGTGCCAGAGTTAGTCATGCTCAAAAGAGCTTGAGTACATGACCCCTTAATTTGGGTTTATCAGTTCTTTTCACTATGGTTTATAAATCATAAACATTTCTGCCTTCAGCCAGTGTTTATCTGTCTGGTTTGTATCTCTGTTGTTGCAAGCATCAATAAATAAAGTTTAGCAGTAAGGCAAGTGCTTTCCTTACTGTGGAACAGAAATCTCTGTAAATAATGAATTGCTTTTAGATACTTGGGGTCAGCTGMTTGGGACTTTCTATTAGCATTAAACAGATTTAAGTTTAAACTCAGGGTTGAGGCTGGTTTGCTTGGCTTTAAACACTGATTCCAGAGGTACAATCTGGCCTGGTGTTTACAAAAATGAGATGAGATTTGAGTCTCTCTTCTGTGCTGTGCTCCAGCTTTAAGCCACAAGGTTACAMATTTGCTAAACATGATTGTTCTAACATATGAACCTTCTTGTAACTACTGCTGGGACTGCACCCTTGTGATGTGAGTCTTAGATTTATGACATTAAATTATTCCAGTTCTCCTAATTATTTTTTCTTTCCCCACACAGTCACAGAGGTTGCCAGAATGACAGGGTTTGAGGCTTTTTATTCACAGAGCAGATGTAATATGGCAGTGGTAGTTCCAGGTGCCACATACTGTTCTGCCAGTCTGACTTAGCCCCAACATCAACATGCTTTGGGACAGATAAAAAGCTACACCTTGTTGTCTGTGCCTGTTCAGTCTCTGCTGATACTTCAAATAAGATGGACAATTGTATTCCCTATCATTTCATCATTGTTGATGAAAACATTGGTTTTTGTTGAAGGTGTTTGACTTGAGTTAAATTGAATCAAATGGACTTTTACAAAACAAAAGGACTGGGGTTTTTTTGCTTTTATTCTGACACACAAAATGTCTGCTGCTAAAGTAACCCATAGCTCATAATATTTTAGTTTTACTTTATACAATAGCCTGCTACTCTTACAGTATGAATTGCTATTTGCAGTGTGGCAAATGTACTRMAGAGAGAGGGAAGAAGGCCTTTTTGAATTTCAGTGCATGCATAGGAATGAAATAACTCCAACCTACCAAAAATTGAAGGTAGAATTAGAATTTTGGCTAGGAATAAGTCTGTAGTTACAAGATTTTTTTTTTTTCCCCCCCTAAAGCTTCATGTTTAGATTTACCATTATCCACTGGGGAAATAATCCCCTTTAACACCAGTGTCATTTGTCCTGTGGTTTTTCATCCTTGCTGTTTTGTTTCTTCCAGGTCAATTTACTTTGTCACWTCTTTCATTTTTCATTTATGTAAACACTCCTGACTCAGACTCCAGAGTATCTTTGTGCTTCTGCAAATTTCTGYCTTATACAGACAATGACCAGCAGAAAATTGCTTATTGCAAACAGAAAACAGCCATCAGAGAATCTGTCATTGATGGGTCTTATGAAGAGAATTTCATTATTTTACTGTCCATGTTGCAGGGACAAGGGGATTATTTTCAGGCAGCAAGATTATCATACCTGAATATTTTTAAGAAGTGAAAAATTATATTTCTTCTGTGCAGATTGGGAAGCACTATGAGCTAGCTCATGGTCATGCCCAAAGCTCTTCAGACTTCGATTTTGAGCAACTGAACTTCCACTCTTCCCGTAGCTGATTTTGATCTCATTAGCTTTAGTTTAAAATAGAAGAGAGCCAAACATTGCAGGACAAAGCAGGGATGCAAGATTGTTCAGAGTGGAGTAAATCCAGTGTTTGGTCGTCAACATTTTCAGTGATCTCAGTGGGAATACTGGACATGTGTAAGAATCAAGACTACATCCTTTACTTAGGAGTATTTTTCTTGGAAAGAATAAGAGCTAGAGAAGATTGTGTACATCTCCTTTTTTCCTCAGATGAGAACCTGGAGAAACTCAAAGATCTTGTGAAGTAGTTGTGCTGGAACAAGCGAGGGGAAATATTGTTTCATGCCGGATGTAACTAAGTACTACAGCACTCACTTCAGGAAGTCATCAAACTGCATTTTTTTCATAAGGCAGCTGTGCAAGATCATGACTTACTAAAAGCCAACTGCAGAAATGTGGTGTTTTTCCTAAAGGAGTGACTTCTCACCATTTCAAATTCCAGAGTCCTGGCGTGTCATAGAATTGTAGAATRGTTTCTATTGGAAGGGACCTTTAAAGGCCATCTSTTCCAACCCCCTGCCCTGMTCAGGGACAGCTTTCACTGCATCAGGTTGCTCACAGCCCCATCCAGCCTGACCTTGAGTGTTGAGAGTTGGGGCATCTACTGCTTCTCTGGGCAACGTGTTCCAATGTGTTATCACTCTCACAAGACAAAAWAAATTCTTCCTGATGCTTAGTGTCAATCTCACCTCTTTTAGTTTAACATCATTACCTCTTGTCCTGTCWTATAAGCCCCCTTTAAATACTGAGAGACTTCATTAAGATGTCCCTGGAGCCTTCTCTTCTCCAGGCTGAACAGCCCCAACTCCTTCAGCCCATCTTCATAGCAGAGGTGCTCCAGCCCTCTGAGTATTTTTKTGATCATTTTGGCAAAGGTCTACAAGTTCTGGGTATTTAAAAAAAACTTGCTTTTTATTCTTTGGGGGAGAAATAACAATCCTTTTGCATTAAAATCAGTGTGAGTCTTTTGATTGCCCTTTCTCTGAAAAGTGGAAATTTAAATTTCTTTAAATCCCATGTTTACATTTTAATGAGAGCATCATACGATTGGATTGTCTTGGATAGTTTCAGATTAAATGGTAGTTGGTTATGAAATTTTCCATTCACTGAATTAATGTGATACTAGATCACAGAAATTWCCTGTGTTTCCTGAAGGAAAAACTCTTATGCAGTGTAAATGAGCTTTCTCTCTCCACCTTACTTGCAGGGAGAAGGATTGTCATTCTGTACACCAGGACTAATCAAAATTTAAAAAATAACATCAGTGTAGATGCATATGATTTTGTTTTGTTTTTTAAAATATGGTATGTTCTGTTTTAATTTTCAGGTATTCTGGGTCATCAAATTTTTGTCAATGTTTGCCTAAATGTCTTAAATATGTTCTGTTCCTTTCAGATGGGAAGAAGCGTTTCATTGGCATCAGGATGCTGACAATAACACCTGCGTGAGTATCTTGAGGTCATTGTATGTTCATGCACACGAGATGTGGTCAGTAGTGGTTCTGAACTTCATTCAACTTTCATTAAAAATCTCCAGAGAATCCAGAACTGGGCATTGGCTTGGGGGAAATCTGCAGGCATTTCAATATTGGTGAAATCTATGTTCTGAGACCTGTAAATTTTCTTAATACTGATAGTGCTGGATGCCCTGCTGATAGCTGAGTGAAAGTAGGAAGAGCCTGAGCACAGATTTTGGGTCTTGATGAGGATGTCTGGAGTTACACCAGGTTTTAGGTGACATTTAAACAAGACACTTTCAGTTAATGACAAATCAGCTGATGGAGGATTTGATGGTACTTTTATCAGTGCCAGTGGAAGCTATCTGATTTAAGATTTGGTACCTAACCATTAACTAGAAAGCTAAAGCTGAGAGTGCCAAACTAAAGCTTCCATGTTAACAAAGCCAGAAATGGACACCCTCCTCTGGCTCCTTACTGCMTTTTCTCTCTTACACTGCTTTGTGTCTTGCCATTTCCCAGATATATTCTTGGATAATATATCTGGGATGTTCTTTTCCAGCAGTAGGCATGTTTCCAATGTGGCAATAGACTGCAAAATTAGACAAGACAATTTCCAGCTGGGGTTGTAGTAAAGCCATCTTTGTTTAGGGAGTTAGACTCTTGCAGTCCTCCCTGAAGGGTCAGATCTTCAGCTGGAATGAATCAGTGTAATGGCATTAACATCACTGATGGAGAGAAACTTGGAATGTTTCTCTGCATAATTGTGAAGTGGACACGATGGGAGATTTACTGCTTTTGTAGCATCCAATGAAGCCATGTAAGATATCTGCAGGCCTGTTTTCAGAAAAAAAAATACCACTTCCCTTGGTATGTTTGCTTTAATTATTCAGTTGTTAGCTTCCTCASTACAAAATCAAATGAAGAGAAGCTGTGTGCAGCCATTATTTTTTCCTTCTGTGGGACTAGAGTTTTTCATGGCAAACAGCGGAGTAATCCATCCTTAATTTAAAATCTTTTCTTTCTAGAAAACGGCTTTAGCCCAAACTGCACACAGACCTGAGGAGATGTCATCACCTCTGAAATGAGGGGATGTTTGTAGAGCTTCTATTTTACAGCAGGTTGTTTTCTCTCTAGAAAGTGATGCACAAACAATTCCTGAAGTAAATTTGAGGAAACTGAAGTTTCCAGTTCTGATCAATCTGCTGGCTGAAGTTATCAAATRCTTTGTTGTTCCAAATTAAGAATGACTTGCAAAACAAAAGAAGCAAAATAGTTAGCAAATTTCTGCCCCATCACCAAAATAATTATTTGAGCAGAATTTTTTTTTATTGCTTTGCAGCACCTGGGACAGAGATCTCCTGCCCTTGTGCTTGTGTACGATGGGTCTCGCTTTCCTCTGTGTTACTGCTACACAGAGCTAAAGTCAGATTCTTGCAGGAGGTGTACAAGACCATTAAGTTGAGCATGCTTTGCCTCTCATAAAATCGATGTATCTAATCCAAGTTCAAACCCCCTACATTTTCATCATGGAACAACAGACAAACGATAAATTGTTAATTAATTTTTTTTGTCACAAAAGGCTTAAATAAGTTTATTTGAATGCTTCTGCTTTTGTAGTGCAATCAAATTCTTTATAACTTTGTTCTTCTTTTAGCTTGGTGGAAGAACTGAAGCACAATAATGCTGATTTTCCTGATGTCAGAAGTGGAATTTAYGTACACGAAGTTGTTCCAAACTCACCTTCTCATAGGTAAGTAGAGCACACCATTTTCCTCACCACAAATAAACCTCCAAAAAGATACTAGTAAGTAATGTTTCTACTGATATTCAAGTAATATTTCTTGCAAGTCTTGATCTGTATTTAAACAATTTAAAATCGTGCCTTTTGGTTTAAAATATTTGTGCTGAGATTCTGCTCACATCTACAAAAGAACCATTTCAGTATCAGAATTACTTCAATCATGGAATCGTTTAGGTTGGAAATGACCCTTAAGGTCATTATGGATAATCATTAGCCCAGCACTGCCAAGGCTACTGGTAATCCYTGTCCCTAAGTGCCACTTCTGCCCATCTTTAAAATATCTGCAGGGATGGTGGTACCACCACTTTGCTGGGAAACCTCTTGCAATATTTGAAAACCCTTTCCATAAAGAATTTTTTCTTATTRTCCAATCTAAACCTCCCATCATACAACTCAAGACCATTTTTTCTTGTCCTGTCACTTGTTAATTGGTAAAAGAGACTGCCACCCACCTCACTACAATCTTCTATAATGACATTATGAGACTCTAACAATGTACAAATATAAAAAACACACCAAGTACAATGAACTCATTTGAGGGGTTTTGTGATGTTGAATATTAATGAACAGAAACTTGGATTAAGTTTAAACAGGATAGCATTCACATAAGGCACTGTCAGAGCTGTTATCTGAGACAGTGCTTAGATCTTGCCGGAACAGGCTATTTTATGGAGGAGTTGCAAAATAAATAAAATATTTCKGAAAATTATTTTAGGAAAGTCAAAAGCAAAAAAAAAAAGCAGCTATTCAGAATTACATTTGAACGAGAGAGAAATAATTTCCCAATACATTAGCTGATGCAGTTTACTTGTCTTGAAATTTTGAGGTTTTAATTTCCAATGCCTGAAATACATATTGGAGGCATGAAAGCCTGATCTTGCAAAGGGATGGAGTAGAGTCAGTAATGGATAAAAGTCTTCTCATTTGCTATAGTTTTGTATAAGACAGAGCAAGCTAGACTCATTGTTTTTGGTGTTTATGAAGAAAATTCTCAAGGAAGAAGCCCGAGCCTTATTTTTCATTTAGCAAATGCTACCTGTTGTTCTTTCTCAGTCAGAAGGGTGGGATTTCCCTTCCATGGAGACTAAAACAAGTAAAAATTTATCACAGTGGCAAAAGAGGTGGTGAACAGCCTTTGTTCTTTTCCTCTGCATGGAATGCATYCTTACTGCCATTTTCTTGTCTCTGCAGAGGAGGGATCCAAGATGGAGATATTATTGTGAAGGTCAATGGGCGTCCTTTGATGACTTCCAGTGACCTGCAGGAGGCTGTGATGAATGAATCACCCCTACTACTTGAAGTTCGAAGAGGAAATGATGACTTGCTATTTAACATTGAGCCTGAAGTTGTCATGTAAATAGAGTTGAGGAAGCTCTCACCATAATTAAACTCACTTATTCTGGAACACTAGATACCTCCTTTACAGCTACAGTAATTATTCTTCCTGTTGACTAATGACAAGGTGGACTAACTTAATTGCCTGAGCCATTTCTGTACATAGTAGCTAGAATGACTTCAAAGATGCCGTTTATAGAAGATTTAAATTTCAARGAAACTTATTTTACTGTGTTATGGGGTGGGGGAGAAAAACAAATTTTGGGTAGAAAAGGTCCCATTTCCCATACCTGCAGATTCAGTTTTGCATTTTGAAAGACCAAATTACTACTGGAAATCAGGAAGTATATGAAAGGGGGAATTATTCTTAAACTACAGTCATGGCTGCAGCAGACCCAAGCTATTGCAATGCAAAATTGAGCTTTTTTTTTTTTTTTTCTTTATGTACCTTTTTCAATGTGAACCTATTATTGGCAAAGCTTGTGTTTGTTCTTAGTGCTTCTGTGCTTCGTGTTGATGCAGGTAGATGTAATCTGTAAATATTGACATGAACAAAAATGGTATCAGGCTATAGAGTGTTACACCTAGGTCATGCGATTTTTGGAATATAGTAAATGATTCTTATAGAATTAATGCCTTATCTATAAATCAAAACGATGTGCTGAACAAAGTTTGAAAAAGTGCACAGTTTTTTAAGAATTTGATACAAACTTGTTTTGCATTTTACTGGTAAGCTTTGCTGTAAAATTGTTACACTACTTTTGGCTTTGACTGTGTATGTTTCTACTGTAAGGAGATTAAAGTTTACACAAATAATGTATTGATGTAAACATCTTTTTAAATGAGCATTTCTCCCCTGCCTCTTCTGTCTGACTGGAATAGACTCTCCCAAGAGAAAGTTTTCTTACATAAAATTGGGCCCTAATGTTATGAAAACCCTTTGCATCCCTGTGGTATAATTATTCTGTCCTTATTTAGACTATGTTTAGAAATGCTTTGCACACAAGTCATTTATTTACACTGTTTTTTCCATATTTATGAATTGTGCTTTGATGTCACTTGGAGAGTATCAAGTTGGGATCCTGTTGTCCTCAGTTCTCCCTGTACGTGATGAGAAGCAGAAAGGAAGCACCAGTAACCCTGTTTTGGTGTTAGAGCGTGTGAGAATTCTGTGTGATAAACCCAGGAGAGAAACAGCTAGCAGCCAAATCCAGATCTCATAGGTACCCTAACCCAAACAACTGTCTTCTTCCTTAGTGGATATTGCTTCAGCTCCCAAAGAGGCAGAGGAGTGTTTCTRTCTGCAGCATTTTCCACAGCTGGTGGAAAGACCTGGTTCTTGTGTCTTTGTTACGCATGCAAAAAGGAAAAAATGCTTGGGCAAGTTCCCTTGAGGCTGCCATCATGCCTGGGCTTTCTGGTTGTACCAACTCACTAATGTGTGACAAGCCTTGCCTCTTTGGGTTTGAACAGTGCCAAACATGTGGAAAAGAGCCATCTGCTCCCTCCTTGCTGACTGACTGACTTCAGCTATACAGTTCAAAGGTGGATGGGGTATCTTCCTCCTGAAAATGAATACTGTTACTTCTGTCACAGGCCCGTGCTGTAATGAGGGCTTCACCCCACTGTGTCACTAAACAAGAACTGTTTTCACCCCACAACCACAATATGCTTGGTTGTACCTGTTGAACATTCCAATTCCTTTATGTCAAGACACAGCCTTAGCATCCAGGCTTCCAAAAGCATACTCTTGTTCTGATCTTAAGGTAGCTGTGGCATGCAGGAGGATGCTCTCATGGCTAAAGTCAAATCCATCCATGTGTACCATGTTAGTACCAACATTTTGCAGTTTGTGAGGGATGTCTGTTTGTAACCATTGATTAATACTAAAGAAGTTAAAGTATTTCTGAGTTGGTTGCTAATTTTTCTGGTTTTGGCCAAGAAATTGTTTGCTAAGAAGACCCAGAGAGTGATTAACTTCTTTTACTGTAAGAGAAGCTTTTTGGTTTCCAGTTAACACATTGCTGATTTTGAAATAAATTGCATAACAACTCCTAGTACAGCAATATCAGATAGAGTGGAAGTGACACAGCAGTATTAAAAATTGAAAACACTGTTGTTGGTGCTGGCCAAATGCCTTGGCCTTTTAATCAGGTCACTGTGTGGGGGAAGAAAGGCTATTTCCTTATTCATCAAAAAATGTTGCATTCTACCAGCAGTTCTGAAAACCTTGATGAAGTCACACACCGCATCTGATGATCTGCAAAGTGCTGCTGCACTGTAGCAGATTTCCCTCTGAGGTAACAAAGGTCAGCYGAGGATCCTTTAGAAAGGAAGCATTGTCATTCCCTTGGCTGCAGGAGCATCTGTGTCATTTCAGCTGCACTGTGACCCTTGTCTGCTGAGATGTAAGTAGGTTAATGTCCCCTTGTCCCCTGATATYGGCCAGAACTGGGAAGGATAATTGYTCAAAGATAGAGTCAGCATCTCCTGATGCCAGCAGTTAGTGATAACTTTATGACCCAAACTTGGTATCTCTGTTTCTTGGATAAAAGAGAGTAAAATGGCAGTCGGTGTCTCTTTAAAATAAGATATGCTGGCAGCTATTCTGTTATAAACAGTTATTGGCTGTGTCTCTTAGGAAAAAAAGGAACAAAAGCACGATCTTCATCTCTCAGAAGAACTGGACTGGCAGCTACAGCGTTTCCAAGTCAATGGGTCAAATGACCCAAAATTGGGTCAATGGCCTGATTATTTCTGCAAGGCCTAATCAGCAAAATAAGGAAGGAAAAGAGACCACCAGTTATAATACAAAAGAGATGAGCATTTCAGGATGCTCTTGTGCTGCAGCCCAGCGAGGTCATCCGTGTTTCCCTCCTCTCTGTGCATGTCTTGGGACTGCCTCTGCACCAGTTATTCCGTGAAAAGCTCTTCCCCACAGCAACCCCCACAGTGGCTTTTCACACCTCTGCATTTTGCCCTTTGCAGCAGCTGCTCTGTTTGCCCTTCTCCCAAGGCTTTGCACCAGCTATTCCACACCTCCATGTATCCCAGACAGTGGTCTCACACTCTTAAGTTTGTTTTGACTGCTTGTTTCTTGCTTGAGGTTTTGTTGTTTTAGCAGAAATCAGGAAGAAGGAGGAATTTTTATTTCTTTCTTCCCAAGCTCTCAAGTCTGGAATGCTGTGCTGAGCGTTTCAAGTCCACAGCAAAATACTAAGGCAGTGGGTTGATGAAAATTTTATTTAACCAGACACTGCAGGATATAGAAGGTGATGCTGTCTCTGTTTGGGCACCACCAGCCAGGAATTTATGTTTGCAGACATGCAAGGCTGAGGGCTTTCCCTGAGGCGGGTGTGTATGGGCAGTACAGGGTGTGATTTCTGTGCCCACATCCAGGACTGAAGTCTAAGGATTGCTTTGAAGAAGGAAGAAAATTTAAAAAGGGAAGGAAAAGTGTGTTTAGCATGTTTATTTTATTTTATTCCCCTTATTTACTTGGCTATCTGTAATAGGGAAAGCCTCAAGGTCTGTGTTTATTCTGAYACTTATTCCAACAGTAGCAGATTATTTTTGCAACTTTGGTGTTCTGCAAATGGTAGATTTGGTCTTTTATCCAGACTTTGCCAGTGGTGGTGTCAGCAGAGCATCTTGGTGGAGCTTTGCTGCAGAGGAACCTTGCAGGTGGTGCCATGGGCTGTAAAATGAGGCAAAACAAGAACCTACTGTCAGTTAAGGCAGAGTTGCTTAGAAGACCTTGTTGGTTGGTCCAATTCTCTGTCTTCTGTCAAACACTGRAGGAAATTTTGTATTGCATTCTTATACTCAAAAATCCACATTATATTTACTAGCAGTGGATTAATGCTTTGGGAAATCAGAACAGATACAGGAGATKAATTTCAATCTGCAACAATCACAAACAAAAAAAGAAAAGGAAAAGAATATATTTGGATTTTTTCACTTTTGATTTTTATCCTCTGGGATGGAAGGTCAGACAGTGCTTCTTCATTCTCCCTTCCTCTTCCCCTCCCTTTCTGTCAAAAAGCTCCCCAGAGACTGTGAGAATATGTCAATATGAAACAGCATTTTCCCTCTAAAGATCTCTGGAGAATAACAGGAGCAACTGCTTGCTCTTTCTTTCTTTCTTCAACAAACACTGGCCAGGCCTTCACAAACAGCCAACTGAGGCACAGTCAGGAAAAAACAAGTTCTTAAAGGAAGCAGTCGCCAAGGAAAATAATTGGGCAGTGTGAGGGTTTTGGTGACGCAGCTGCACAGCTGCTGAGTTCAATGACTTCTCAATTGCCTCCATCTGAAGTTGTGCTCCACTCTTGGAATGATTTTTACCTCCATTACTATAAATAGCTGGGCACGATGATTTGCTGCTTGCAGTCCCAAACAAAAACACAACCAAACCCTAACAACTCACCCAACACACAACAAGAAAACAAAAACCCTTCAAATGTCTTCTCAGTAAGATCCTAAATGTCAAAGAGGGATCATGAAGATAGAGAGTATAGTGCTRATGCTTTTGATGATGGTTTTCTAACATCTCTGTTGGTCAAGAAGATGTGCAGAATGATGAGAATAATGCCAACTRCTCTGTCCTCCTGTGGGAAGAAATCCCTCTCGGGGTTGGTGTCACACAGACTGCTGGTCATTTGACCTGAGCTGCCTGTCTAAACATCCCTTAACCTCAAGAGAAAGAAATAGAGCTTTCCTCTTCTCAGAAAGTAAAGGATCAAAGCAAGTCCAAAAGGATGTATCCTGACAATATTTATTATAAAGTGCCCTTCCTCTGAAGAGGCTTCAGATAACCTGAACTGATTCACAAACTACACTGTGAAAATCCCAGATCAAGTGAAACAACTTTCAGCAGATAGAAATAATGTTATAATTGTAAGATGGATTCAGRATAATGAAGGTTTCACCTCTGGTTACTAGCTCAAGTTCAATCTTAATTTTAAATGAGTGAAAAAAAATCCTCTCAACTTTTTCCCTTGTCCAGCAGAAGTAAACCATAAAGTTCTGTGGTAAGGGAAGAAATGCACTTCCTGAGTGTATTAATAGGTGGTAYTTCATGGTATTGTGTGGGTTTATCTACAAGAGCATGGGGTAGATTTTTCTACTGAAGAAAGTTGGTGCTTGACTTGGTCAGATGTTAACCTCACTACACCATGACAGGCCCACCACAGCCACCTACCCAAATTTATCTGATCAGTGTTTGAAATGCATTAATTACACTTGCCTTTCCAGCTCTTCTACTGCCAAAGCTGGGGTTTTTTCCTGTGCATAAATCCAGATGCAAGAAACATAAGAAAATACTGCTCAACCAGCAGAAATGCTCCCAAAACCATTTTTTCTGTAAACAAAAATATTCCATTGTGTTGGTTGTCTCTGTGGTTGGACACCAATGCTCTGTTTACCTCTGCAAGTTATGCACATCATCCATGCAAGGTGTACAKCCCACTGGAAAAYGAGSTTTTGCTCACATTAAGGGCAAAAASCTGSCAGTTTGTGCCTCTRAAGAAACAYTTYAACATCTGAAATAYGTTWTTCCCCTGGGGTTAAGYATTYATAAATCTTACAGTGAAATTCCCCTTTTAGGGAAAAGCAGCAAAGTTTTTGCAGCAGGTTRAGGGACTTCTGATATTTTGAAAAAMCCTTYASAGTTTCTCAGTAGTTTGAGTTGTCAGATGTTATAGGAAGATAAGAGATCAGCAGGCAAAATCTGAGAAAGTGATGAGAGGTGCAATGATGAATGTATGCTGTTGTTTTACATGTTTTTCCCCCAAAGGATCACGTGGTCTCCATTTTTATTGATTTTGTTTTTGAAATAGATTTTCTTAGTGCTTCTGAGATTTGTTTGAGGAAAAGTTATGACCTCTTGCTGATCAGTATCTTTGGTCTTATTGGTAAACAACCAAAACCAGAAACTGAACATAGTCCGAGGGGGCTGCAAGGTGTTTTTTTGGGGGGTTGGTTGTTTTTTGGGTTGGAGTTTTTTGGTGTGTTTTGGTTGTTTTTTTGCTTAAGATCTGTAGCATCAGCTGCAGAAAAGGACGCATAAGTAAATTCTGGCAAATTGGAAAAGAGCAGCCTCCGAGGGCAGCCTGGCAAACTTCTCTATATCACCACTACCTTTTAGAATAAAGCAAGCTTTTCTACAGCTTAATTATACCATTAATACAAATTAATATTTGTGTTGAAAATAAAAATAATAATCTTTACACATTTTGCACTTTTTGGCATTACAAATTTTTCTTTAATTGGAACAATATTTGAAAAGCTTTATGTTGAAGCTATTTTACTCCAAAACATGGTAGGTAATTAAATAAAATCAGCATTTTCTTAAGAGAAAGGTGAATCTTGTCTAAGATAACTTTTTAAGTGGACAGTGTTTTCATAACAGAATATTTATTTGATACATTACTGAGGAAATTTCACCCAGCAGAGTGAATTGCAGATTCTGACAATCCTAGTGATATGGAGTCAGGTTCTGGAATGAAAGACTAAGGCACAGAGATTCTGTAAAAGATACCTGAAATTTAACATGTCAGCTAGCAAAAGCCTCCCATGGAATTTGAGTATATTTCTGTAATTCTGCTGACTGCTGAAGGCCAGGCATGCATTTGCCTCTTCATGGTACTGTGAAGGCTGTGAGAGTTTGCAGTAATTA